AACCCCCAGCAGAGAGCCCATTGAGGAGCTGAATCACCGACCACGGAGATGGGCCTGCAGTCCGAAGAGAAACAGCACTCAATGAGTCTGAACTGCTGTCACTCTTGAGGCCATTATTATCCCTTTGTCTATAATAGAACCAATCTCAGAGTTTAAAAGCAACTGGCCTTGCCAAATGGATTTTTGAAAGACAATTTCAAGATTCAGCCTGGCATTCAAAGACAGCTGGGGAATTCACGGGCGTAAAGGTGGGCAGATCTGATCTAAAGCTTGATGATGCTCCCAGTCAGGGTGGAAACTTGGCAATTGTAGAATTAATGAGTTGCTAGATCTCCCAAGGACCTCAGGTTTGGGGGACATTTTACACATAATCAGAGGTTAGCAAGTCGTAGGCTCCCCACTTAGCTGCTGGCCGCACTTAGGAAATGGTGCACTCCCATGAAAGGGTGCACTTTCTGCCACTTACTAATTGTCCCTGAAAAGCAAGGGCGATTTGCTTTTAAACAAACCCCGATATAAGCAGAACAAATGTGGCGGTGCTGGTCACTGCTGAATGTGGGAGAGAGTGATGGGCCCATTGCACCCTTCCGCCCACTTGTGTCTGTTGGAACTTTTTCATAATCACCCCAAACAATGACCAATCTTTTCTTTGATAGCAACACAATAACGCCCTGGGCAGGTGTTTGCTACGGCCCTGAAATGTGTGTAAAACTGTATTGGAGGCAGGGCAGGTCCGCTCAGCAAGCCCCCCTCTGCTCTGGAAGCGAGAATCAATAACTGTCCTTTCCTCCTGCGATCGCTAACAGGCTTTGCCTTGACCCAGGACCTAGACCGGAGTCTGCAGACCAAGTCACTTTCCCTGTTAATGCATGCATGTTCGTGGTTGGGTGAAGTCATAGTAGGAACTACATATGTCAAATAGAAAACATGGAGCCCCTGTGATCGCAGTGTGTGTGTGTATATCTCTGTGAGCAGTTGTGTATCTGCATGTGGATATTTGTGTGTATCTGTCTGTGTGTGTTTGGGTCTGGGTGTATGTATGTGAGTGTGTCTGTGTGTCTACGTGTATCTGTGTGAGTGCATGAGAGTATGAGTGTATCTGCATGTGTATGTTTAGGTGTATCTATCTGTATGTATCTGTGTGCAAGTGTCCATGTGTGTGAGTTTAATGTCTGTTGGAGGGTTAGAGTCTGTTTCTGTGTGAGTGTGGGCTTGTGTGTCTGTGTATCTGTATGTGTATCTCTTCAGGGGTTTAAACATGTGTCTGTATAAGTTTAAGTGAAATTGTGCGAAGGTGTGTGGAGTGTTTGTGTCTGTGTGTAAGGGTGTGTATCTGTGAGTGCCTGTGTATGCGCTATGTGGAGGTGCAGCTCAGGGGTAAACCCTGTCCATGACCTTCTCGCACCCCCCACACTCCTGAAGAGGCTCCTGGAGAAGCCTAGCTTCCAGACCGTGGGCATGGCGCTCAGCTCGGCCATGTGGAAGAGCACCACAGAAAGGCGGTGTGCCTGCGATCTGTGTCCGGGTCCTGAATGCCTGGCCTTGTGAGAGAAATGAATGCATCTAGCTGAGCACATCATAACCTCCACAACTCCCTCTGCCCACAGATATTGATTTTGCCACCCGCAAGATCGCACTACATCTGACTCAAACAAAGATCATTGAGCAAAACGGGGATTGCTTTAAGACGAAAACCAACAGCACGTTCCGCAACTACGACGTGGACTTCACGGTTGGAGTGGAGTTTGACGAGTACACAAAGGGCCTGGACAACCGGCACGTGAAGGTACTGATCTGGGTGGCACCCCACCCCCCTATTCTCTGTGCAGGGCGGGCCATTTGGCTCACAATGAAAAGCAGGAAAAACCAAAAAAGCAAACACCTGAAGGGTTGGGAAAGGGGGACCAGAACGGACTTACTGATGTTTAAGAGCAAGCACTTATCAAACGTTTAATAAAAAGAAACCAACTGGCTCCTGCATTGAATTAACAAGCAATGGTGAGAAGGATCGGGAGCTTTTAAGGATCTAGGGCTAATCAAAAGGTACCCATTGCCATCAAGTCAACTCTGACCCATGGTGACCCTATACGACAGGTGGCATTACCGCCTGGATCTCCAAGGTTCCCGTCGTACAGAAGCAGCCTGCCTAATCTTTCTCCACGAGTAGCTGGTGACCAGCCAAGAGTCTAACCACTTCTCCAGCAGGACACCTTGGGATCTAGGGCAGTTGTTAGATGCCCGAGAGTTGGTTCTGATTCATAGTGACTGGTCCAGAGCCATCTCACCATTGTGAGGCTGGAGCCCATTGGTGCAGCCCTTGTGCCTCATCCATCTTGTCAAGGGTCTTCTCTTGTATTGCTGCCCCTCTACTTTCCCAAGAATGATGTTCTGTTTCAGGGACTGGTCTCTCCTAAAAATGTGTCCA